CTCAGCAGCACGTTCCGAGCCTGTGCCGCTCACGAGCACGGTCTGCGAGGCCAGACCTGTCCTGGGTCCGCGCCGTCCCACACAGTGGCCCTTGAGCCCCTGAGGTGTGGCCAGTGCCACCGAGGAGCCAAATTGTTGGTTTTTTTAAAAAATTGTGATGAATTTGAGGTCAAGTGGCCCCTTGAGGCCAGTGGCGGCTAAATTGGGCAGCGCACTGTAAACATAGAGTCGTCTGCTGACCACGGATAGAAGCTGGCCTGGGGACCCTGGCTAATGGGGGGAAGCAGCCTTTCTCACTGAGCTGCTTAGCAAGGCCGAGGAGCAGGTGGAGAGCTCTGAGGAAGGTGGTCGGCAAGACGCTCGGGCCATGGGGGCTTTTTAGGCATCCTTTCTTCCTCTGCCGATCCCAGCAGCCAGAGGATCTGCCCCCTGGGCAGCCTGCAGGACTGAGGTTGTACAGTAATTACATGAAAAAGCAGCTGAGGCATTTTGATTTGTGAGAGGAAGCTATTGTAGATTCCAGCCCTAGAGACCAAGTGGGGGACACCCCCCCCCCGGTGACCCCTCATCCAGGCAGGCACTGGACTACACTGCCGGGGACTTCCTCACCGTCCGCCTTGTCCGGGGACACCAATTTATTCTCACTTGGTTCTCAGATGGAGCCTTGGTCATGTCCTGTGTTTGGGGGCATGTGGGACAGAAGGCCAGCTCACCATGAGGCACACAATCTGGACGTTGATTGAGCATAGACAGTGTGCAGGGCGGGATCTCCGGGGATGCCAAGATGACCAGCCCCAGAGGGTGGAAGGAGTTAACAAACAGACGTGTACGCCTCAAGACAAGTTCAGCTCTCCTGACCACAGACTCAGGAACGGAAGCTCAGCAGGAAGGGGTGACATGACATCAGGGGTCACCATCGCCAGCAGGAGGCTCCCATGGCCGGAGCAAGGGGAGGAAGAAAGGGCGCTGTGGGCAGTCAGTGTGTCTCAGCTTCGCAGGAAGACACCCCAGTGGCCGCAAAGGAAATGGTGCTGGCAGGAGAGAGGGTGCCCCCTAGCGGCCTTGCTTTTGTTCCCCTGTCCTTCCCAAGCTTGTTTGCCCTCCTCTGAACTAAGGGGGATGCTCTTCCACTGCGTCCCACGGAAAGATACGCGTTTTACCTGACTCTCCATGGATGTGCGCGTGTAGACATGAAGGCAAAGCCAGAGCCCCTGACAATACGCAATATCCTGTCACGTTGGCATTTTCTATTCAATTTCTTCTAATGTGGGTCGTAACTTCCTAAGTCGATTCATGACCCACTAAATGGGTCGCAACCCACAGTTTGAAAAGCCATCGAGAAGAAACCCCTGGGTCCCTAATCCTTATCTTCTGGATGGCATCACCCACCATGCCCGCCTCACTCCGCTCCCCCCCCCCCGCCCCCGTGCAGGGCCTCAGCCAGGGCCAGGAGGGGCTGGGGGCCTACCCTGGGAAGCACGTACTTGCAGGTCATCCAGGTTCGTCTATAGTCGTGGCCAGAGAGGGAGCTGGAGGAGAAGAGGCAGTGACGGGTTAGGACGTCTTTTATCCTCAATGCTGGAAAAGCGAGAGAACCAACTACAGCTGCAGAGTTTGTTCCGTCGGATGTTATTTATCTTTCTCTTGTACGGTATTTGCACTTTGCCCAAGGATGAAGACAAGTGACCTGAGGCAGGCCTGAGTGGCCTTGGGCCCGTCTTGGCTCCTTGGGCCCCCATATCCATGGCCGTCAGGTGGCGGCGGGGGGCGGGGTTGATCCCTTGAAGAGCCTCTCACACTGATGCTCTGTGATTCTGTTTCTCCCGGGAGAAGGATGGGGGATGTGGAAACTAGTGGTCACAAGAGCCACGGAAGGAGGTGGGCAGGGAGGAGGTCGAGGGGTGGGGAGGAAGAGAACAGCAAGGGACTGGGCTTGCCCTCGGTGGCAGCAGGTGGGTCAGGCATATTCTTGCTGCACCCTCCTTGGGAAGCGTGGAGAGGGCTGAGGAGTCCTTCGGAACCTACAGTCTTTTCCAGCCGAGCCCGGAGTCCATCTGGTTCCGTCTCCTCCCATGTAGAGAAGGGAGAACAGCCTCAGGGGAGGGAAGGGCACCCAGAGTCACGATTAGTCATAAAACCAAGACTGGAACCACCTTGGAGTGAGGGCCCCACCGAGAGCCACACTGGAGCCCCAGGGAGCTCCAGCTAGATAGATGGAGCCCCCACTGCTCAGGGCTCCCGGTGCTGAGCCCCTGAAGGGCAGGGTGTTCATGAAGATGGGCTCCCCCACTTATGGGCTAACGGGGACTGTGCCCAGACAGCCCGCAGCTGGGCAGCAGGGTGCCAGTGGGTGTCTGGTGATCTAGCAGCCCTGGCGGCTCCCTGTGCCACCCCTCCCCCTCCCAGCGGCTCCCTGAGAGCAGAGTCTCACCCCCAGCGGCCTCAGCACCACAGCAGACGGGGACAAGGCAGGGACGGGGGAGCTAAATGGTGGAGAGTGGGCGTGATATCGGGGCCGGTCCAGTGATGCCCCGTCTTGTGCTGAGAGGTTTCCCAAGAGGACGAAGGCCTCTCCCCGGGCAGTACCTGTCTCCCTCTATGCAGAGAGGCCTTGTAAGTTAGCAGCGGGCGTGCTGCTGCTGACCCCGCATGCGTGCCTCAGGGTCCTCATCCTTCAGGGACCCGGCCTTGGTTCTCTCTTTGACTTTGTCAGCATTCCTCTGCCCTCTTCCGAATCTCCACATACTTCTTAGAAGTGGCACATTACATTGTTTGGTTCCTGCAAAGGGCGGTGGCCGATCCGCTGTGTGCCGGTCCTGTAGGGCAGGGACAGCTCAGGTGCAGCTCCTACTTCCAAAAGCCTCTCAGCCTAGGGGAGAGAGCACCCAAAAGAGATAAGTACAGCCTAGCGTAACGAGGGCTGTGACAGAAGGGGCCCAGGGGTGAGCGGGAGGGAGGGGCGGGCCGGGTGGGAGCGGGCTGCAGATGCCTGTGTACTGGCCCCTGGTGAAGCTGCCAGTCGCATCCCCCAGACTCACAGCACGGTGCTCTTCATACAGGTGCACTGTGATGCGTGGCACATCTTCCCGCCCCCACACCTGAGTGACAGCCAGGACAGCCTGAGGGGAGACTCACTGAAATTTGCCAACTCTGAACTCCCCCTTTCTGCCGCCACGGGGAGAGCCCCGGGTGCTCAGGTGGACGTTCAGGTTCTACCGACTGAGTGGGGGGGGAGCCTCGGGCTCAGATGCAGGAAGTGGACTGTGGTAGACCGTCTGCAGCCTCCCCCATGGGCAGGTTGTACACCCTGACCCATTGAGGTCAGGAACTCTCCTGGCAGTGAAATGTGAGCAGCATGTGCTGGGGATCCCTCCCAAGCAGAGATGACAGCCGCCACCTCCAGGCAGAAGCTGTGAGCGTTAGGGTGTGGCCGCTGGGCTGGCTTGAATTTCTGCTGGCCCAGAGATGATACTAGGTTGGGTCCTGAGCTGGGAATCCTGCAGAGCCCCATCCCAGGCGTGGCCTGGACAGCACTGTCATTTTCCAGCCCAAGTCACAGCTGTACTCTGTGGGGAGCCGTGAACTTGGTGACCAAGTGGGTGTGAAGGTGGTGGTGGAGGTGGAGCCGTCTGAGCACGAGGTCTGGATGCTTGCTGCTGGCCACCGACCTTGCCCGGGCCACTGTGTGTGCTGAGACCCCCTTCTTCCAGCTGTTTGGGTGTGGGTGTGGGTGGGTGTGTGTTGCTGACCCGGGGGTGGGGGGATGTGCCATGCCTGCATCAGTGTCCTGCACAGCGCTACCTGGGGGGACATCTCTGGGCACAACAGTGCATGGGGTGGGGCTGGACTGCGTTCGTTCGAGTTCCCTCAGGGCCTCAGAGGTCGAGCGAGTGTCCCCGGGGCCAAGCTGGTGAGAGCCCAAAGGATACCTGTCAGGGGTGGGAGGGGGGCAGTTTGGTTCCCATTGACCTCACCCCAGAGACATCTGGGGAGCGCCCTTTAGGGCAGTTGAGAAGGGGGTTATTGTGAAATTTGGGGAAGAAGCTGTGCTACGTGAGAGATGTTCCTTATTAACACTTGCCCGTGGGGCAAATGGTTCTTCTTTTCTGGACTAAGTGTTCCCTGAGCAGACCTGGGCGCTCGAGCTGGGTTGGGCTTGAGGTCCCTGAGATCACACAAGCCATTGGCTGAGCCAGTCGTGGGGTTCTGGCCTGCGTCTCACGAGCTGCCTGGGCCCCCGTGTCCCTGTCAGTGAAGGAGGGGGACTGCAGTCTGCCTTCCCAGAGTAAGCAGTCCAGTAGGAGTTTAAAACGTTCCATGATGGAATAAACACACAGAACGCTGGAGTTCAAGTCCAGTAGATGTCTTTGCTGCAGGGCCTCCTAGAGCCTCGAACTTACGTTGCACGGTGCCAGGGCTCTTTCAGAGGGAGCGTGTGGTGCCCTCTGCCCCTGGCCTGGGTTCCACGGAGCATGGTGGGAAGCATGGCATGTCTGCTGGCTCTCGGTGCAGCCGACCGTGGGTTGTGAGCGAGAGAGGCCATGTGGCTTAGGTCCACTCTCTGTCCATGGCTCTGTCCCACCGCTCCCTCTTGGCTCACGCCGTTTCCTGGGTGTGTGTCCTTGCTCCCCGGAGATGGGCCAGAGCAGGCTTGGCTAGTCATGGCCAGGTAGGACCCCGGGCTGCTCCTGACGGCGCTCAGCTGGCGTGGGTTAGGAGGGTGGCCCATCTGAGTGGTGGGCAGCCCCTCCCCACGGCCCCTGGAAAGACGCCGGGGAAGTCATGGCGGCCCTGTTGTCTTCTCCCCATCCTGCCTGCTCGGCCCCAGCCCCTGTGCCCCTACCTGGAGAGCCTGCCAGACCCTCTGTCATGGCCCCTGGGACTGAAGGATCCCGTGCATTCTGAGGTTGGCTACATGACTCCAAGGCTGGGGGCCCAGGACGTGGGACCCCACGTGCCAATGGCTAAATGGCTGTGTGTTCTTGTGTGTGGCATTTCAGGGACACCATGTCAACCTCGCTAACCCCTGAGGACACTGAAGACATGCCGCTGGGGCAGGATGCCGAAATCTGCTTGCTGAAGTCTGGGGAACTGATGTAAGTGACAGGTCTCCAAGCAGGGCTCCCCGGGCTGTCACTTTTGGGGAGGAGCTGCACCCCCGAGGCTCTGACTTGGCACCCCTGGTGGCTTTCATTCAGTCTGCTTTTTTTTTTTTTTTTTTAAGTACAGTTTACATACAGTAAATTCCCCCTTTATGTGCACGGTGCTTAGACTCTGACAAATAACACAGTGCAATCACCAATCGTCCTGCCAAGCTCCATGCCCGGCTGGGCCAGTGGTTTATGTGATCTCAGGGCCCCTGAGCCCAGCCGGCTCTGTACCCCAGCGCTGCCAGATGGGGGGACCCAGGCCCAGACCTGAACAGTGTCGCCCCCCTGTGACCACAGTCCCCTGACCCTCAGAAGCTCCCCGTGGCCCCTGTAGCTGTCGCTTCCTCACACCTGTGCCCTGTGTGCTTCTTTTCTGACCATAACTTTATTTTGTTTTCTTACTGTAAGAGCAGTACCGTTTCATTGTAGAAAATAGGAAAATAGAGACAAGCAAACCACCTCAGTGTATAACCTTCCAGTTTTTAAAAGTACATATGTACATCATTTTCAACACAAAATATTCTACATCTTATTTCATGGTCTTTTAAAACTTACCATTGCGTGAGTATTTTCACATATCGTGTTCTCTTTCTCCTGTGTTGTGTCTAATGGCTGGATAATGGCTTAATAGTCACTGAGTAGATTCACTCCCTCACTCACAGATACTTAACTCAGCACCTAGGAAGCACCAGGTAGGTTCTACGTCCTTGGACCTTGGAGCAAAACAAAGATCCCCGCCCTCATGTTTAGTTTATATTCCAGCAGGGGTGGACAATGAACGTAAGTAAACAAGTGAATCACATAGTGCATTCATTACAAGGTGGTGTTGCTATGGAAAACAAAGTAGGATGGGGAGGGTGGAATTTGTCATTTTGAATAAAGTGGCACTAAGAAGGTAAGACTGGAGGGAGTTGCCATGCAGCTGTGTGAGGGAACAGCATTCAGGCAGAGGGAATAGTTGGTGCAAAGGCCCTGGGGCAGAATGGTGTCTGTCATGTTCAAGGAGCAGGGAAAAGGCCAGTGTGGCTGAAGCAGAGAGAGCGAAAGAAACTGAGTCAGAGAGGGAAGGGCGCCCTGTCACATCAGGCCTTGTTGGCCAATGTGAGGACTTTGGCTTTTAATCTGAGAGAAATGGGAGCCCAAAAATGAGGTTTGGAACAGAAGAATGACTTAATATAATTTACATTTGAAAAAAGATCATTCTGGTTGCCATGTGGAGAATGACTATGGAGGGACAGGGCAAAGTAGGGAAACCAGTAGAATTTACATTTATGATGTGAGCCCTGTAGACAGTGGGCTCCTTTTATTTAAGATTATATTTGAGGCGTGCCTGGGTGGCTCATTGGGTTCAGCATCGGACTCTTGGTTTCAGCTCAGGTCATGATCTCAGGGTCGTGAGATCGAGCCCCGCATTGGGCTCCATGCTGGGCGAGGAGCCTGCTTCAGATTCTCTCTCCCTCTGCCCTTCCTTCCGCTTCCTCCCCTCTGCCTGGTGCTCATGTTCTCTCTCTCTCTCTCAGAAAAAAAAAAAAAAAAAAAGATTATATTTGAGCAGAGACGGCAAACCCTTGATTTGTTTTTATTAGCCTCTCCTTTGGGGAGGCTGAGTGTTGTCCTCTCAGTGAACAGATAAGGTCTAGAAAGGTTAAAAAAAAAAAAAAAAAAAGACTAGAAGCACAATCCAAAGGACTGGGTGCAAGGGGAGAATTCTGGAACGTAAAATTATAAAATGGCCCAGCATCGGTGGGGCCTTCTGTCAAGGTGACTGCACACACGGCCGTGCAGTAAGATTTCTGCCTTACAAGAAAGACCTCTTTTCCAAAAGGGACCCTTCTGCCTACTCTCAGATTCTTGAGAATTGTAAACATTGGACAAGGCTTTTTGTCCCATAATTAGAAATGACACTTAAATGAACACATTGGAAAACGTTACATGGAATGAAATCTTCACAAAAGTGGGATGATTTTTGTCAGAGCTGTCCTATAGAGCATTTTGGGTGTCTTCATCCTTGATTACTCTTCTCATTAGCGTAGCTCTGGGGACTATTTCCATTCATCTCCACGGCTTTGAAGGCAGACAACACTCTCAGCCCCATGACTTACTTGCTGTGCAGTCTTGGGCGAGTTCCCTAACCTCTCTGAACTTTAGTTTCCGCTGCTGCTTTCAGGGGGACAGTAGTAAATTTTGGCCATGAAAGTCAGTTTGGCGTAGGAGACAGGTAGTGGCCTCAGATCAGACCTGGGTGGGTCTGGACCAAGTTTCTTAATCACGTCTTGGCTCCCTCGTGTGAAGTGGGAGCCTCGTGCTTCCTCCCGCCGCCGTGGAGCCAGCACGTGAAGCCTGCGAGCAGAGGGCCCGGCACGTGGTGGCCGCCACCTTCCCAGTTCACAGGTGAGGAGACGAGGCCCGCCCAAGGCCACGCGGCCTGCTGAGGTGGCTGCTCCGCACCCGAGGCCCTGTGCTGGTGACCCGCGCCGGCACGCACCACCCAGGCAGCCTCGGGGAGAGGGCCCGTTCCCGCCTGCCCAGCTCATCCTCGGAGGCCCTGCTCACACCTGTCAGCAGGCGGGCAGAGGAGGAACCTCAGGCTTACGAGGGGGTGAGCCCCGTAGCAGACGGGAAGCAAGGCAGGCACTGGAACCCATTTAAGAAAAGTCAGGGTGCCCCTTGGAATCTTCCAGCAGGCCCCAGATGTCCACCAAGAGGGACGGCCGAGAGGGTGGGAAGTTTCTGATGATGGGTGCGCTTCCTGCCCGTGCCAGCCGACGTACAGGGCAGCCTGGAGCTGGAGACAGGAATGGGCCAGCAGGGCAGCAGGAAGCTTCAGGAGAGCTCCTGAGAGCCGAGGCCTCCGTAGCTGCTTCCCATCCGTGGGCATGTGGAGCACCTCAGGCCGGCTTTCACCCCTGACCGCCTGCGGGGACATGCCGGCCCCACGCGGGCAGGGATGGTCATCCCCATGTTTGCCGTCTGGGTCTGGGTCCCCGGTGCCGGCCACCGTGCCCGGCACCCAGTCAGTACCCGCTGTGGGTGGGAGCTGCGCATCCAGGCTTCTCCCGTAATTGAGCACGTCGGGCAAGGTTCCACAGGGCTCGGCCCCCCAGGAGCCTCCAGGGCTTCCGGCCACCTCAGAGCCTCAGGTGACCTGGCCGGTGGACTCAGGCACGTTGCCTGTTTGATCAGGTCCCTCTCTGCATTTGGATTTTAGGATAAAATTACCGCTCACGGTGGACGAGATCACCAACTTCGGGGAGAGCAACAGGGAGCTGTTCGTGCGGTCCAGCACCTACAGCCTCATCCCCATCACTGTGGCCGAGGCAGGCCTCACCATCAGCTGGGTCTTCTCCTCCGACCCCAAGAGTATCTCCTTTAGCGTGGTCTTCCGGGAGGCAGAGGACACACCGCTGGATCAGTGTAAGGTGAGGCCGGCTCCCCGCCCGCGACCTGCTTGCTCATACTGCAGGGTGCTTGGGCAGACCTTTCCCTGCGCAGGGCTGCGGCCATCCTGCCTCCTGCTGGACGGGCCTCACCTGGAATGTGAGAGGGACGCGGGGAGGAAGCCGGTGCGCAAGCCCTCTGGGCTGCATCCCGCGGAGCAGGCAAAGCACCTGGCCTTGGCCAGCCTGGGGAGGGAAAGTCCTGGTGGCTGGTGAGCGCTGTCTTCAGGTGTCTGAAGCTTTGCTCCTGTGCCAGACAGCTTCCGTCTGACCTTGGGACAGATCACTAGGTGAGACCTAGAGGATACAGACGTGCGACCCAGTTTAAGGATCATTTTTTAACAGAGCCGTGCAGAGCAAGAATAGGTCACCGTGGAGGTGGTTATGAGCTTGGGGTGTTTGGCATCTCACCTCAGAGATGTCAGCAGAGACACCTTAGCCATTGTGTCACTTGGGTGGTGGGGCTTGAAGTCTTGGTGGCAGATTCCAGTTCATAAAGTCCTAAGACATTCTAGGCGTGGGATGCTGTTGGTGGCCTGGACCATGGGTCCCAGTCTTGGCTACACATTAGAACGTACCTACCAAATAATCGACATTAGAACGTACCTACCAAATAATCGACCCCTACTCCCAAGGCCATAGCCACACCACTCGGTCAGAATCCCTGGGGCTGGGACACAGGTGTTCCTAGGTGAGTCCAGTGAGCGACCAAGGTTGAGAGCCATGGGCCTAGCTCAAGGGATTGGAAGCCAGAGTAGAAAGGATAGGGTGGGATCCAGAGCCCAGGACAGAAGGCTGAGCAGGACTCGGTGGGTGGCTGACTCAGTGTGAGGGGAGGGAGGGGCTAGTTTGGGTGGAAACTCGAGTCCCATTTGAATCATCGTGGGTGGAAGGACCAGTGAGGACAGACAGGCCGGCCTGGAGCTTAGAGGGGACCTCAGGCTGCTATACGTGCAGAAACTTCCACGTTCCGGCAATGGCGAGAAGGAAGGTGGGGGAGAACAGTTTGAAGTCACGTGGAAGGAGACTCCTGTGCAGTGTGTGTGAGAATATCCCTGAGTCCCTCCTGAGTGTGGGCCGAGCGCCGGGGTCGAGGGTCCCCGAGCTGAAGGCCCGCGCGCTCGGTGCGGTGCGCACCCTCGTGCAGGGATGCGTGTCTGGCTTGCTGTGCTGCCATCTCCACCCTCTTGGTACCTGCTCGCTGTAGAGACTGCTTTGTCATTTTTGTCCTCTGCAAATTCACTCCGAAAATTGAATTCTAGCCTCCTTGAGTTGGCCTTGTTTTGTGGAGTTTCGTGTTTATTCTTATTTAGAAACTGCTCTGCCCCTCCTTTCCTTCCGGGGCGCTCCACGCCATGTTTCCCGCTTGGAGCCCTTCCTTCCTGAGGTTCCGACCCTGCCCCGGGAGGCTGATGTGGGGCAGGCCTCCGTCCTCGTCTGCAGACGGGGTAACCGAGATGCCCAGTGACTTGCCAGGGCAGTTAGTCAAGCGACAGCGTAGCCAGCGTGCTTGTCAACTCTGCCCTGACCAGGAACTCGCCTCGGTGCCTTGGCTGTTCGTCCTCATGGTCCCAAGGCCTACCAGGCACCAGCACCGCGTCCTCCCACACTGGACACTGGTGTCGGTGGCAGGGAGTGGGGGAAGGGACTCAATCCCGTGTCCAGGCCTTTGTCATGCCACCTGCCCACACGTGGCCGAGCTGTGGGCCTCTCCCCTTGCTCAGTCGCTCACGCACCAAATCCGCATGGCCCTGGGAGATCCGTGTGGTTCCTACCAGGATTCGGGGCTTGGGCTCAGAGACCTGGAGGAGGAGCCTTCCTCATCTCCATCTTCCAGGCAGCCTCTGGAGGGGGTCAGGACTACCAGTGTGTTTCTCAGAGTGGACACCAGGGGGCAGAAGGAGCCCATATACAGGGTGAGCGAGAAGGGCATTTTCAGGGGCCACCTGCCTTCATAAGCCCTGCATCACCAGCCAGCCGCGGGGTGGCTGTTTTTTCTGCCTGAGGTCCCGGGAACAGACATCAGCCTAGGAACCTGTTCCCAGAGGCACGTCCTCAGCATCTGTCTTGGGGACTCCCCCTGGGATCCCCTGACCAGCCTGGGCCTTACAGGAAACCACGTGCAGAGCAAGTGACAGCATCAAGGATATGATTATGGAAGCGTAGACACAAGGGGCTTGTGGTGTCTTCAGAGCCATCTGTTGAGCTTCTGCTCAACCCTGGGCTCTGTTGCGCCCCTCAGAGCTAGAAAGAGAAGGGACGACATGGCATCCGCCCTTGAGGAGAGAGCCCCTAGTGAACAGACGACCATGGTTCCAGATAGAGAGTGTCATGCTGGTGTTGGGTGGGCATGGGGGAGGGGGCAGCCATCGGGGGAGGAGGCCTTGGGCCAAACCAGGAGATACGCCCTGATAGAGGGAGCCGCAGGGACAGGGCCAGCCCCATCTCTGGAGGCACCCAGCAGACACTGCCCAGCCCCCGGGACCACCTCCTCTCCAGGGTGCTTCCTCGGTCAGGGTCTCGTCTGAGCAGTGAGGTTAGAGGTTGTAAATTTAGGAAGACACTTGACTGAAGAAACGGTCCATCCAGGACCTGAGGCTGCCCGTGTACTGACCCTGTCCTGAAGCCTGGGGACAGAGCACGGGGAACAGGACCCAGGGCCTTCCCACTCTCCTGGCAGAGGACCCATGTTTGGCCAGAGGAACTCAACAGCCTGCCTGGGGCCGCAGGGGGTCGGAGGAGGAACCAGGACTGGGAGCAAGAACGCTTGCCTTTGTGGTTCTTTAGACGGCCTTGTTGAGGTGTAATTCATATACCAAATAATCGACCCCTTGAAGATATGATGTATTCACTGCATTGTGTAACTGCCGCCATCTAATTTTAGATCATTTTCAGCACCCCCAAAAGAAACTATACCCATGAGCAGTCACTCTGCGACCTCCACCCCCCGCAACCAGCAACCTGTTTGTGACTCACTTCTTCCATCGAGCCTAGAACCGTTGCTTTGCACCAGAGCCCCGGGCCAAGGGAGCCCATCCAAATACCGAGAAAATCAGGTTGGACTGCCTTGCAGACACATGGCGTGACTGAGGGCACGGCTGCCCAGGCACTGGAGGCTGGTGGGAGGCGCTCCCGGAGCTCACCCAGCGGAGACCTGCCTCGGGTTTTTTCCAGAGACCCCCTCATCTCCCCGCCACCTCAGCTGTGTGAGCTTTGGCACTGGGAAAGCTCTCCTACATTTTGACTATGGTGGGAAAACCAGAGATGAGATGAATGAAAAGTCTATAGTCTAGAATGTTCTAAGGAAATGAAGCATACTGTTTTAGACATACCCTCTTCCGAGGACCTGCCTAATGAGCTGTCGGTTGTTGCTTTGCAGTCAAGGTAGTGAATGAGGAGGTTGAGGTGTGGGGCGCCCAGAAGCCCCTGTATAAACAGCAGGCCTTCCCGTCCACTGGCTCCTTCTCACTGGTGCTTGCTGGAGCGTCCAGGCTCAGAATGTTAGGTTACGGACCCCAGAAGCAGACCCAACCTCGCAACCTCCCAGAATTCTCAGTCCCGGGTGGAATTAGAATACGATAGAACATTAATGGAACGTAATAAGACCAAGCGCAGAAGTGGCTAGCCCCAGGTCCTACCCAGAATGGGTCCTCGTGCATCTTTTTCCCCTCTAGGCTTGTCTTGGGACCTTCCTACTCCCTCACCACCGCCAGCTCCCAGCCAGTGCACATGTCCTGTGGTATCAGGAACGCGCTGCACATGCTCTCTCCCATGCCTGTGGGATCTCCCTCTTGATGTTTGATCTCTCCTTGATCCATGTGTTATTTAAGAGTGTGTTCTTCAGTTTACAAATATTTTTGGTATTTTCCAGAGATCTGTTTATTTCTAATTTAATTCCATTTCATTCCATTCCATTGTCGTCAGAAAACAGACTGTATAACTGAATCCTTTTAAGTATGAGGTGGGTTTTGTTTTTTTTTTTTATTCTTTTTTTTTTTTAAATAATTTTTTTATTGTTATGTTAACCACCATACATTACATCATTAGTTTTTGAGGTGGGTTTTTTTTAATGGCCTAGAAGATGGCCTACCTGAGTGTTCCCAGGGCACTTGAAAAGCAGGTGCGTCCTGCCATGGTCAGGTGGCGTGTTCCATTAAGTGGCAGGTGGGTTGAGTTAGTTGATACAGTTCTTCGAGTTTTCCATGTTCTTACTGAGTTCCTGTCTATTAGTCCATTAATTATTGAGGGGTATTGAAGTTTACTGAACCATTAATTGTGAATTTACCTACTTCTCCTTTCAGTTCTACCACTTTTTGCTTCATGTGTTTGAAGCTCTCATTAAGGGCATAAATGTGAAGGATTGGTCCATCCCCCTGATGCATTAATACGTTTATCATTATGAAGTTATCCCCGGCCACATCCTTTGATATAAAATCTATTTTGTCTGGTATTAAGGTAGTCAATCCAGCTCTCGTTGGATTAATGCTACCACAGTATATCTTTTTGCATGTTTTTACTTTTAACCTATTTGTATCTTTATATTTAAATTGTCTCTTCTTATGGGCATGATGGGGTTGGCAAAGATGGATCATCTTTGCCTTTTATTTGGGATGTTGAGACTATTTATATTTAATGTGCCTATTGATCAGGTTAGGGTTGAGTCTGTCATCTTACTGTTTGTTTTCTGTGTGTCCCATCTGGTTGTTCTCCTCTCAAAATGGTGAGCTGGGGCGGTTGTGGGGCTCACCTTTTCCCTCGGAGAGCACTCTCCTCCTTTGCCTGATGTCCAGTGTCTTGTATATTTTGTCCATTTTTGGTTATCTCTTGGGGGAGAGTAAATCTTTGCTCTTCTCCCATGTCTTTGAATGTTTTCCCCTCTGCCTGGGCCAGCCAGACCTCTCTCGAACTACCTAACTTGTCCAAGCTCAGCATCAACCCACTCCCGGATATCTTCTCTCACACTGTGCCTCTCTCCACTCCCCCCCCCCGACCCCCCGGGGCTGAGGTGGGCACCCCTCCCAGTTGTCCCCTCGTGACATGCTCACTGTTATTATAACTGAATGGTTTTTTGTCTGCTGTCTCTGTTAAACCACAAGATCTTTGAGGGCAGAACCTTTTGTGAAAACTTACTTCACTTTGGGAACTCTGTGGCCAACATGTAGGGTTTCCAGAAACGTACCTCTGTATTCAAGTGTAAGTTGAAAAAGCCATCACATCGTGAGAAGCATTTTGGATTCGGTCATCTTGTGCAGGGTGAAAAATGTTTAAAAGGAATAGATAACGGAGTTTCACAAAGTTGTGTTTCTGAGAAAGGAGCAGCACTTGATTTTGTAAAGAATAAAGATGCTCACTTGTGGGGCAGCTCCCCACACTAGGAGCTCCGAGTTGCTAAGGTGTTAGCCGTGGTCTGCAAAGCCGCTGATCTGTGTGACCATTTACGTGTAGTCAGCCCTACGTGGTCGGCTTAAGGATGCTTTCTGAGACCAGACCCACTGGGGCATTGATCACTTCTAAAATCGTTCTGAATTTTGGTTGGCTCTGTCCTGTTTCCCATTTCCTCATTTCCTATCAGATGCTCTGCTGACTGAGCCAGCCAGGCACCCCTCCATATCTTCAGTTTTAAACTGTGTCTTAGTTGGTCAGCAGGTTGCAGACGTTGCCCTCATGGGAAAGACTGGCCACCCAGAGACCCACACACACACCCTGGCCCCGTCCAACGCTCATCCTGTGCTCAGCTTTGCGCCCCCCCCCGCCCGCCGACGGTGAGGCCCTTAGAATGTGTCCCGAGAAAACAGATATTTCCTGGAACTAATCTCTCCTTCTTGGGGAAGGCAGAAGGTAAATAGGAGGCTGGGGCTTGGGCCAGGAAAGGTGAGAGGGCCCTGGGGCCTGTGGTTGTGCGGGGTGCAGCAGGAGAAGCAGAGCCTGCCGGGGCCAAGTGAGAAGCCACGGGTGGAGCCGGGCCTGTTCGGGTCAGAGTGGGCAGGGCGCAGCAGCTTCACAAAGCACTCGGGAGATGTGGGTGAGCAGGGCCTCAGCCTGTCCCCTGAGACACCCCTCACCTTGGGCAGCACAAGGCCCAACAGGAGCCAGACAGACAGATTTCACCTCGAATAAGCCCCGGCTTCCTGAAGCCAAAAAAGGCCTGCTCCTCTAGATAGTGGAACATTCTGGCTGTGGTCAGAGGAGGCTGGGGGCCACTCCTTCGGGGCACTGACTCGTTCATGATTCGGGGTGAAGTTCATACCCACAGCCTCCTCCCCAGCCACAGGTTATCAACAAATGTGGGGCATGTGGAAGACACCCCCCACTCCTGGGGCTGATCCCAGACACCGCCCCCCCCCCCACTCCTGAGACTGACCCCAGCCCCCAGCCTTGCTCAGCTGTGACCTCAGACAGGGTCCCTAGCCTCTCTGGGCCTAGTTCCCTCCCCCAAAAAAAGGGTCTACCCAGAGGACCCATATGCCCTCTCGGCTTCTGTGACACCTTTTCTGATCTGCTCTTCCTCCCAGGTCCTCATCCCCACGACCCGATGCAGCTCTCACAAGGAGAACATCCAGGGCCAGCTCAAGGTCCGCACCCCGGGCATCTACATGCTCATCTTCGACAACACCTTTTCCAGGTAGGGCCACCTCACTTGTCAGCGTCTGGAAGAATTCACCTGCCACCTGGCCACGAGAACAGAGCCGGACATTTAAAAGAGACTATTTAATTATCAGTAATTTATTATTAATAGTTTTTTTTTTTTTTAATTTTAGAGCCCTATATTGCGGTGGTCTAGTGTCTTTTACAGATTTTATAAGACACAGGCTAGTACTTACAGAGTCTTATTAGCACATGTCAGGTGAATCCTCGGACCTCTGCTCTTACTGACTCACTTAAGCCCCACGGCACACCCATGTCATAGGAACTACCATTCTCCTCGTGGAGCCACTAAGGGACTGAGGGCCAGGGGACTGATCCCAGGTCACACAGCTGGTAGTGGTAGAGCCGGGTTGGAACCCAGAGGGCCTGCCTCCAGGCTCTGGACTTAACCAGTGTGCCCTCCTGCCTCTCTCGGATGTCCAGGCTCCCACTGCCCAGCCCAAAGGAGGGGCTCAGTAGAAACAGTGGAAGGATGGATGGATGGATGGATGAATCCATGGATGGGTGGATGAATGAATCCATGGATGGATGCAAGGATGCATGGATGCATGGATGGATGAATACATGGATGGATGGATGCATGCATGCATGCATGCATGGATGCATGGATGGATGGATGGAGGGATGGATGGAAGGATGGATGCATGATACATGGATGGATGGAAGGATGGGTGCATGGGTGGATGGATGGATGGATGGATGCATGGATGGATGGATATATGGATGGTTGGACAGACGGATGGATGGATGGATGGATGGATGGATACATGGATGGATGGATGGATGGATGGATGGATGGATGGATGGATACATGGATGGATGGATGGATGGATGGATGGATGGGTGGATGCATGGATGGATGGATACATGGATGGATGGATGGAAGGATGGATGGATGGATGGATGGATGGATGGATGGATGGATGGATGGATGGATGGATGGATGGATGGGTGGATGCATGGATGGATGGAAGGATGGATGCATGGGTGGATGGATGGATGGAAGGATGGATGCATGGGTGCATGGGTGGATGGGTGGATGCATGGATGGATGGAAGGATGGATGCATAGGTGGATGGATGGATGGAAGGTTGGATGCATGGGTGCATGGGTGCATGGGTGGATGCATGGATGGATGGAAGGATGGATGCATAGGTGGATGGATGCATGGGTGCCTGGGTGGATGGGTGGATGGGTGGATGGACAAGCAAGAAATGAAGGCCAGGACTAGAGCTGTGAGAGGGAGCCCCTGGGCCTTCTTGTCATGGCAGCAGGAGCAGTGTGTACTGTGTCGGGGAAGCACAGCATCAAAGCCCCAAATACAGGTGCAGGAGTGAAGGGCTGGGGGGGCAGGAAGTTGGGAATATAGGGAGACAGGCTGGAGGGGCAGCCAAGGAAGGAAGCTGGGAGAGGAACATATGGGTTGAGCATCTGCCATGAGCCTGGGCCCCCACTTCATGGAGACACGAGACGGGCGGTTAAGGTGCTGGGACCCATCGCTTTGGTGTCTTCTGGCTTCAGCATAAGCCCATCGTTGGGGCCGCCTTTTTAGGAGACCGGCCTGACCAGCACCCAGCCACTTCCTCCCTGAGTGGGGCCCTGAGCTAGCAGCCACATCCCCCCATACGGGGACCCTTCCCAGCCCACTTGACTTTTGGCGGAATAACTAGCGAGAATACTCTAGGGGAGAGCTGTGCCACCCCCTCAGCATCTCCCAGCCTTGAGCGCCCAGGGATTGTGGCCAAGCACGTCCACTAAAGGAGGGGCTAAGAGGAGGAGCTTCCCACTCTCCCCCTCTCCTGCCCCTCCCCTGCACGCCCCCATGAGCACAAACATACTTTGAATTAGCTGGACTCATGGGGCACAGGCCCAGCATATTCCAGAGAGCTGCCCTCCAAGTTCTAAATGCCCCTGAGCCCTGTCTCTGCAGAAGCAGTGAGCACTGTCACCACCTCACTGAGACTCCCGGCGGGTTATCAGAGAGGCCAAGGGCAGAACACGAGCAGGCCCCTAGTTCCCACTGGAGGCCACCACGGTGCTGTGACCCACCCCGCCTTACCGCGTGCCGGAGATCTCTAAACCATGGGTGGCAAAATGGCTTCTGGTGCCCAGCAGGGCTGAAATCCATACTCGCCTCCTCCAGAAACCTATTCTCAGGGTCCACTCCCTGCGCTGCCCCCCGGCAGCCCCCACATCCCCCAGCAGCTTCAAAGCAGGTGTTTGTGTGTTTGTGTAGCAAGCCCCAGGGAAGTCCGTGCTGACGTCCCAGGACCCCCGGACCCCTGCCTGGGGGAGCTCTGCTGGGCAGACAGGAAACGGGGTGAGGGGCCTGGGCCCCTGCCCCCACAGAAGGCTCTGCCGCCAGCCCCCCCCCCAAGGAGGCCCCCCCAGCCACCGCCGCTGCCCTCTGGCTTTCGGCGCTCCCAGTGACACCCTCCTTTCCCACTTCTGTTTCCTCAGGTTTGTCTCCAAGAAAGTGTTTTATCACTTGACGGTTGACAGGCCTGTGATCTACGATGGAAGTGACTTCCCGTAGCCTCAAGCACCTGGATTCTAGATTCTAATAGCTTCACTTTATCCACAGGAAACACTACTCTTGCTCACCTGTCACATAAAGCACCAAAAAAAAAAAAAAAAAAAAAAAGGCAGCCGCTCCAAATGTGACCTGGTGTAGAACTGGGAGACAGGCCTCCGGCCGCCCCTCAAAGCTGCATCGTCTGGAGCACTGTGTACTCAGCACTACGCACCGTCACTCTTAGCCTCCGTGGCTTTTAAAGGCTCAAGCAATGTTTCCAGGGATTAAGGACCCAACTGCCCTCACACCCAAAGGGACACTCTGCCGATGGTTTAAACACTCAGGGGACCTTCAGCCTCTCTGGAGCCACAGCTGGTTCCCGGCCTCTGTGGAGAGCTCCACAGGCCAGAGTCAGTGACCCCAACTTCTGCCCCGGGAGAGAAATGCCCCACTCTGCACAGCAGGGGCCAGGCATCCTGGGTGACCATGAGCCGGGACGTCCTGGCCAGACCCTGTGAGTCCTCAGGCCGCGAGGCCAGGAGAAGGAGGCCACAGGGCCATCGTGAGAGTCAGGGCATCCCGGGTGGGGATGGGGGGGGCCTCCTGAAGCCCCAACCAGCCTCTTCCCCATCAGGCCTCTGTCCCTTCCTGCCCCAGTAAATTTAGGGCTGCTCCAAAGCAGCAATTTTGGAGGGACCTCTAGCTGCACTTTCTTCCAGGCCCTTCTGTCTGGGAAGTTCTGTCCTCATGCAAAGCCCTTCACTCAGGCAGGCCCCCCAGTAGTTGAAAACACCGGCCTAGAAATCAGAACTGAAGATGCTCGGGGAAACCGAAGCCAGCACATGAAGGACGCGTCCTGCAGTGGCTGCCTGCGCAGATGGCGATGCTGGAACCACTAAGCAGCACTGTGCGTTGGCCCTTAGGACTCACTGCTCGGCTGCTGGGCTGTCTCTGTTTGTATAAATATGAGCTTCTGCCTCATCCGCAGACATGTTTACTAACGATCATAATCAGGGTAAGAACCACTTTCCAAAATCAGGGCCTTCTTAACAAAAGTCTTTGGTAACTCAGGTGTAACAGGCATAATTCATGAATCGGCTTTGAGTTCACTTCTTGGTCCCCTCTCCCCACCAGTCTGTTCCCTGGCACCCCTTTGCCCGCTTCCTGTGGCTCAGCCTATACCTGACAGCCAGGAGCCATCTCCCCTTGGGGCCAATGAATCCTGTTTCCCTTCCCTGGCCAAGGAGAAGGTGGTCTTCCTGTTGTCTGTGGTCCTTTTCTCCTCCCACTGTAGGGAGCTCACCTTTGATGGCCTCTTGGGGCCTTGTTCACAGAGGCCGGAGCCTGAAGTCAGGGCTCAGACACTTCACAGGTGAGCAGGCCATCTGATGACGGGGCCCACTTTGGCCAGGGATGAGGGAGAGCGCCGGGCAGGGTGTCTGGGGATCTGAACACAGGGCCCAGCCTGTCCCCCAGCTGGCCTTGGGACCGGTCAAGTCCCACCACACGGAAGCTTCATTCCGTCGCCCACAGGCCTGGCTGGGCTGGTGTTGAGAGCTCAAGGACAGGTCAGAGCCCCCAGGCCGGGTCCAGCGCAGACCCCACAGCCACCACCCAGCAGAGAGGACTCGTGGGGCAGGGGGAGGGGGCTCAGAGCTTCCACTCAAATAGGGGACTTGGCCACTTGCAGTCAGTTTAGGCAGGGCAGGGGAGAGGGTGGTGAACAGAACCTTCCTGAGGGATTAACGCAGAGAGAAGCTGAACCTCTTGCGCTCTTTCCTCAGAGCAGCCAGCCGCCTCTAGCAGAAAGCCAGCAGGGTCCCTAGCATCTCCCAGTGGCCAAGGCCTTGACTGCGCTCAACACCAAGGCAAAAAGCAGCCAGGCTCCCAGAGACTCTCCCTAGCCTCAACGCTTGTCCTCACAGGTGTGCCACACAGCCTGAGGATTGTTCCAGAGCAAGTTATCCTGCCTTTGAGCCCACCCTCTCCTCTGGAAAGGGTAATCGGGATGGGTGGTTTACCACAAGAAAGAAACTAACAAAAGAGAACCCAAAGCAGTCTGGAGTCTTGTTTTGAGTGCTCTCCCAGGATGCCATGGAGACAGCCAGCTGATGGTGTCGCCACCATCCTGTGCCGCTAACAGCTCCTATGTTTGCTCCAAAAGGCCTGGAACATTCCATCCAAGCCCCCTGGTGAATCTCTGTCACTCAGCCCGGCAGGAAACCAACTACAGCTTAAAAACCACTGGGCTCTTGCAAAGCCAGCCCAGAGCCACTCCTCCCGGAGAGCAGAGGCCCCTTGTGGTGTGTACCCCCTGGAACATTGACTACATTCAGAGGACTGCCCGCTCCCCCAGCGGCCACGTCCTGACTCCGCAGCCCATTTATTTTCATGCTGGACAGACTCTTTTTTCTTTGTTACTTTGCTGTGTGAGCTCGAGTTTGCTGTGCATTATGCAACTAGAGAACATGGTGGCCTATTTCAGCGTGGCTTTTATGAACAGCTTTATTCTTATTTTGAACAGGCTCCTGACTTTACTGAGGTTTTGGGGGTTGGGGTACTTTTAAAAAAAAATGCAGATGACAATGAAGAGCAACTATTGAAGGCAGTAGCCCCAGCCAGTAGACTGAATTACACTAGAAATCATCAATGGGACCCCAGATCACTATTCAACACAAAACAAAACAACAAAGCAAAAATCCGGCAGCCCCCAGATGGCCCAGCTCTCTGAATAACAGCCGCTCGCTTTCTAGCACTCATCCCGCTGCCTTGTTCACCTCTGCCTCAGAAGCCACTAATCAACCTTGCCCGAGAACGTGGCCCCTCAGACACACTCACCAGCAGCGAGGAAGGGCGGGCGTCACAGTAAAGCGTGGCCTCTGCAGTGCGCTCGTGGCTGGAGCCCTCTGGACTCCAGGTCAACTGGATCAAGAAGGAATCTGGAACTGAAAAACCCTACCGGGTTTGAAAAGTAGAAAAGGAAAAGCCACATAGTATAATGGAAAAATCAAGGGGATGGTTGTTCTGAAATGTTCCAGTTCTCCACTCCTTGGGTGGGTAAGCCACTCTAGACTCAAATGAAAGGAAATCCCCATTTGGAGGTGGTATCTCAGAGTCTGTGCTCTATGGGATACTGGTTAGATGGCCACTGATTTTTAAGGTTTTTTTTAGGAGTTTCATTTCTTAAAGTCCACCTTCGTAACTACACGTGAGAGCCCCCATCCCTGGCTCCGAGGGGTTGAGAGTGAAAGCAGAAGCCGTCGGTGATTCGGAGAACCAGGGGTCGCCTTGCAGACACCCATGAGCCAGCCAGCCATGTTTACAAAACGCTTAGCGAAAGGTGCTTCTTAGTGGAAACCTGGAGAAGTTTTTTTCATTGCGTTGTGATTCTTCCAAGGAGACGGGAAAGACTGAATTAATAACGCCTTTTCCTTCGTAATCGCTTTTTTAAAATAACAAAGTCTATCTTTAGATTTCAGGAGACATGGCCGATAAACAGGCTTCGTTAGAACCTCGTGATGAGTGTTATCCAGGGACGCTCCTGCCTCTGGGGGCTGCAGAGCAACCCGCACGCCTCCCCTGGGCGGCTTCCGGATCCGAATTGCACTTTCATTGACGAATCCTCAATTCTCGAGGCCTTATGGGATAGTGGGTCTGGGGACCCATTGCATTCTTATCTGCCAAAGAATTACCCAGAAGCACATCAAATGCCAACCCCCGCCCTGCGCGGTGGGGGTGAGAAACTTTTGTATCCCAAAACGTATTCCTCTGTAGCATCTGCCGCACTATTTGGAACAGTTTTATTTTTAACCTCAGGATTTAAATAAAGCAAACACTATGACATTGGAAGTAGCATTGTCTTTCATTCCACTGGGACATAAGGCCCGTTGATAAAGTGACCCAGACCCGGGGCGCCTGGATGGCTCAGTCGGTTAAGCGTTTGCCTTCGGCTCAGGTCATGGTCCCAGGGTCCTGGGATTGAGCCCCACATCAGGGGCTTCCTGCTCCGCGGGGAGCCTGCTTCTCCCTGTGCCTCTGCCTGCCCCTCCCCCTGCTCGTTCTCTCCCTCTCTCCCTCCCTGCTCCGCCACTCCCCGGTCAAAAAAATAAATAAAATCGCTATTAAAAAAAAGTTACCTAGACCAGACTTGGAGTTGAGTTGCCCTGCCTGGAGATAGAGCATCAGCTTGTACTCTGGCTTCTCAGAAGGGCTCAAGGTTGCCGTGTGGCTTGGGATCTGGATACTTCCCCGTCTACCCCAAGGTCAGTGTTCAGACCTGAAGGAGCCAAGGTATCATTCCAGCCCACTGCCCTCCACCACATGAGCTGCCTGGCCCTCCTGGGCTACTCACAGAGCACTGTGAGCAAAGAGCACACTGCTGACCTACCAGAACAGTGAGGTCAGGGGGAAGGTCACGGATGCCCTAAAACCACCATCAGTCAACCTGTGGTACAAAATTGGGCAAGACCACCAAGCCAAGACAGCAGGCAGAGGAAGGAGTCACATTCCCACTGCCACTTAGCTACTCATGCTGGATCAGCAGAGACCAGACCTAGACCGGGAGGGGCAGGACCCTCGCTCCTGGACCGGTCAGATTGAACTCAGGCTGGACAGTCCATCCACACTCACACCACACCCCACATCCAGAGATGATGTTCCTTCTCTTGAGTGCCTCGAGCCCCACAGAACATCCCCAGCCCCGCTTCCCTCCATCTCCCTTACTTCCTCCTCCAACCGTCCCCCAGGCCTCAGATTCTCATGTGGCCTCTTCTTGAATCAGTTATGCAGGAATAAGTTACACGTTCTGTACCCATAGCCACACTCTCCCTCGAGAGCAAGGACCGTGTTTCCTTCATCTCCCTCCCTTCCCTCGCCCCCACAGCGTCGAGCACCACGCCAGACACAGAAGTGCTCAACAGTCATGGAATCCGTGAGGATACCGGTCGGTCCCCATGCTGGGTCAGCTGTAAGGCCATCAACAATCCCATTGGCCAACTTGGCCCGGCACAGAAGCTCCTGAAACTCTCATGGCAGAGAGGGACAAAGGGCGAGCCTGCAGGGGAAGGTGCGGGCGGGATGGAGGTGAGGCGGTCTCTCCAACCTGCCGCACTCCGTACCCCCCTCTTGTACTAATGATGCCCTCAAGTCGAGCCTCTTACTCTCTGACGAACAGGTTGAAGTAACGGAAGATTGGTTTATCCAAGCGCCCAGAGCAATGCAGCGGGAGTTCCTTAGTAACAGAAGGGTCCCTCCAGAGACTTGGCAGCCACATGGGCTGGGGGCTGGAATGAGAACCAATGGAGACCCACATGGCTGAGTATGCTGCACCGGAGGCTGGGATCTGGGGGCCTCTGTGTCAAAATCCCCATCGCACCCCACACCACTCGCTAAACCACGGAGTAACGCAAGGTGCCCA